GATTTCGAAATCGATACACAACGTGCGACACGGCTACATATCTAAGAAAGTTTTAAAAAGGAAGATCAGCTACGCCGTTGTCGTCCAGTCGTGACAGTGACGTCATCACGATGTAGAGTAGTGCTGTGGTTTACTACTATTTTATTGTTTGTTTTTTATTTATGTACAAAGTACATATATAAAAAGAGTGGAAGAGAGAACAAGATTAAATAAAACATACCAGATTATAAAGAGTCATTTATTGCATAAAAAACTAACAAAATCACTTGATTTTATTGGTTTTTTATTATTGTTTTGTGTTATCGATATATCAACTCTTGGCAACACTATTTTTTCCATAGATATTTTTGTTTACTTTTCGCTTTGGCGTACAGGACACGGTAATGCGTTTTTGGCGTGGCGCTCAAAAGGTTACTTATAATAGTTACTTTGCAACCATCCTTTCAATTAAATAAAATGATATGTCTTCCTCAGCTTGAAGAGCACCTCCCGCCCTCCCTCAATTGCGTGCACTAATCCCGTCACCACCTCTCCTAACATCACTATTCCAGGAAAGGCACACCATCGACGATAATACGAAACGTGTTTCGCCTCTACACGAGGCATCTTCAGGTGATGTTGACTCTACGGCGGCTGACCCATAGATTACTAAATATATTCGGCTGACCGCTAAGTGAGCGGCGAGCCAAAACAGCTGCTATTTATACACGTGGGAGCAGCTTTACAAAGCGCAGATTCCGCCCCCATGTTCTCCGAAATAATGGAGTCTATTGTAAACTGCCAGCTCATGAGGTACCTTGAGGATCACCAGCTGATCAGTGACCGCCAATACGGTTTCCGTCTTGGTCGATCAGCTGGTGATCTTCTGGTATACCTTACTCATAGACTGGCGGACGCAGTAGAGTCCAATGGGGAGGCATTGGCCGTTAGTTTGGACATAGCGAAAGCCTTCGATCGGTCTGGCACAAAGCGCTTCATTCGAAGCTCTCTTCCTATAGGCTTCCCGAGAAATTGTGCAATTGGATCACTAGTTTTCTTACTAATCAGAGCATCAAGGTGGTAGTAGACGGTGCATGCTCTGATTACAAGCCTATTAACGCTGGTGTTCCACAAGACGCGTGCTATCACCAACGCTGTTTCTTCTGCATATCAATCATATTGTTACGCGCTCAACGTCATACACTAGCGCCATCTAGTGTCAGGAACGAGAGCGAGGGGAGCTTTGCAGAAAATGACATCACAAATCTTTACCGACAGCGCCATCCGAAGAACTAAGTTTCTAGAAAATCTACACTCGAACACTCGTCGCTTTGCGCGCATTTACTTGAATATTCCGGATGCTTCATTGCTAATTTGTATATATAGGCGCTGCAAGATGCGATCGGGGCAGTATTGGATTTGGCGAGACAAGCGAAGCTTCGGAGTGGAATAAAGTGAATTAGTGTGTTTAATTATTAGTGTTTTAAGTTTTAATTTGTGTAAAGTAAATTAAAGTGTTAATTTAGGTAATTTTATTGGCAATTTTTATTGTCACGAACCTCAAGCTCGTTTGCCCCCTCTTCCATTCAACAAAAAAAATCTGTGGGGCATGCAATCTATGGCCTAGCTTTTATAGGTTGTAATGGAATGAAAGAAATTATGTTCAAAATTTATTATCTAAGACATATATTATATCTCCTTCAAATACGTACATTATCCCCGTCACCACTACTCCTCACGCCAAACACTGGACTACAGCTACTGAAGTCTATTTCGGTTGAGGATGCCTTGTTTAAGTTTTTTTTTAATAGAATAAAGGTGACAAACGAGCACATAGTCCACCTGATGGTAAGTGGATTCTGTGGCCCATAAACATCTACATTTATCCTCGATTAAAAATCGAAACGCGGATGCGTTGTCATCCGTGACCCTTAGATGGAATGCCTCGTTTCCAGTAAAAAAGTGTCTCCGGATCTCTACAGTCACCATACGAAGCACAGCAGTATTAAACTGCTATTTTACACTGGTATTCTGTGAGAGCGTGGTTCCTCCCCAGTCGAGCCGACCCATTCGTGCTAAAACCATAATATAGCTTCAGCGTGGCTCTACCACGTGTAGTGGAAACGCGTGTCTTATTATAAACGGTGGTGTGTCTTTTCTAGTATAGTGGTGTTGGGAAAAGCGGTGACCGGGATAGTGCTTGCAATTAAGGGAGGGTGGGAGGTTCTTCAAACGAGATAACCAACATCATTTTATTTCACTACGCGGATCTTGGCTAATTCATTTGTAACTATGGATTTCCGTAAAGTAACGCATTCTATTAAATACTAAGGTGATTCGTAGTTCATAATCATAGATGTACTCGTGTGTTGTAAACACGAAACTGCAGCAGGTGGATTGCTACATGGTTACAGAAATACCACACCAGATGTTGATACCAAACCACATGTATCCCATGATCTCCTAGTCCTAGGCAAAAGAGGAGTTTTTCCAATTTCCGTATTATTATTGTATATCGGCTTCGCCTGGGTGGGATCAATGTGCCATTATATAGATTTAAAATAACCTACATAATATGTGCATGGAATGAGATCGACCATTTCCATGGCCTACAAAGGTTGATACTTGATGAGGATATCCCAAGATTATGTACAGACTAAAAACTTATATTTTATAAACTTGTTTGGATGTTGTAATAGGTGAGAGAGGGATGTGCCAACTATGGCAAGTATCCCCCTTATGAGGCCAACTATGGGAAGGTTGAAGTTCAGCTTGTTCAGCAGTGGTCTTTAAAAGGCTATAATGAGTAACTAAACATGGTTGCAATTTACTCAGTACTTACCAAAACTAGAATTATTAAATATTAGAAATATTAATTAAAAATATATTAGAAATATTAATTAAAAATATATTAGAAATATTAATTAAAAATATATTAGAAATATTAGTTAAAAATAAAGTAGGACAAATAAAATAATATAAGCATTCTTTTCAAGCACATCAGCAAATAGAAATGTCAAATTTTTCATAGCATGCTATCTGCAATAATAACGGATTTTACAAGTTTGCAAGTATATATCATCAAATTTTGGGCTATAATATATCATCAAATTTAAAAATCATCTAATGTATTTCAACTGTGGTGACAACTTCCAATTAATATCAAAAGTTCTCAATTAAGAACTACACATTTAATTGCTGTATACTTGTATATTATGTTGGTAAGAATATGTCGACTCTAGTGGGGAAGGTCCTATCCTATTTACAGAATTTTAAAGCGGGAGCTTAATGCTGCTATGTTTTGTATGGTGAATATAGAGAACTATAGACTTTTTACTGATAATAAGAAGGCTTGCAACAAATATTAGGCTATTATGCAGTATTTGGGCTATTCGCATTCTTTCACTATTTGGCCGAATACCAAATACTTAAGTAAGAGGTTTTATTGTAGACAGATAAGTAACTGGTAAAACGAAAATATTTATTTTATAATTTTTTTTCTTGTAATCATTAAAGTATTCACAGCTACATAATCAACTTCCAAATTATGAAAATTTATAAAGAACTATCAGATAAATGTCTATGCACTCAAATTGTCGTAATTCCTATTCTGCTCATAGGTTAGTTTCAGAAAATAGACTCTCCGTAAAACAAACACTACTTCCTTCCAGCCAAATATTTTTGCTTAATATTCAGCTATTCGGCCAGGAATTTCACAAAATCTTTGTTATTTAGCAAGTGGTCAAATATAATATATGTTGCAAATAAGTCATATCATAGTCCTCATCCTCAGGGGTGACTGAGTGATGGTTTGTCAACCTTATTTCTAAATAATAGCAAAAGTACCCTTGTGATCATGGGTGCTGTACAGCACCCAAAATGTGGGAAATTAAAAATAAGTTAATTCAACATGATATAATCCATATAAGTAGTGTAGTTTTCCTTCTACACTAAAATCCTTAGTGTAAAGTGATTTAATATTAATAATAGAAACATTCATTTACATACATAGTAATTTCTAATCTTTGTCTTTTCAGTTCTGTCCACTTTTTAGTGAGTTCCAAGCAGTTACCCAAGAGAATAACAGTTCCATCGATTTACAGATGAGGCTTGATGGAATCTTCCGAATAATATTTAACTGTTACTTTTAAATTATACTTAATAATACTTCACTTTGCTGATACTTTTAATTTTCACAAATGAGAAGGCACTTGCTATGTACTTTAAAACAAACATGTCGTTTTTTTATAGGATAGGGTGACAAACAAGCACACTGCCCACCTGAAGGTAAGTGGTTGCTGAGGTCCATAGACATCTACATCTATCCTCGATTACAAATCAAATGCAGATGCATTGTCACCTGTAAAGAGATGGAATACCTCGTTTCCAGTAAAAACGGTTTCTCCGGTTCTCTAAACTCACCATACGAAACAGCAGCATTAAGCTACTATTTTAAGCGGGTATTCTGACAGTGTGGTCCTTCCCCAGTCGAGCCGACCCATTCGTGCTACAACTATACTACCAATATAATCACAGCATGGCTCTACCACATACAAAATTTTGAATATGGACAAATCTAGTCCCTCTAGATTGTGGCATTTAATTCTCCTATCTAACAGAAGACTGAAAATGCTGTTTATTAATAATGTTTTTGTCTAGTGATGAGAAAATCAAAATTAACAATAAATAAACTGCATTATCTATTCATAGTATGGACTTCTAAGGTGTAATGTTTAAGTCATTAGATAATTTTAGATTAAAATATATCACTATATTGTGATGAGCCTGTGGTAAATCAGCACTTAAATTGTCATTGATAATTTCAGTTCAAGTGAGGTTTGAACTAAGTTTGCTTGCACAATATAGTAAAATCAGGGGATAAGGGATACATACTTATGGCTCAGTTACACAAAAAGTAATTCAATAACTATAACTTTTATTTAATTTACACAAACCTTATTGATGAACAAATAAAACTGATACTAATTTATTTTTAGATATCATGTAAATAAAAAAATATCTCAACTATCCAAAATAGTATTTTCACTTTTCTTTATAAATGGTGCACTGGCACAAAGAAACTGTGTTTCATTCTCAATAGATTTAACACTTTCACTTGTTTCAAAGCTTTTTTGAAGTAAATCCAACACCTCCATATCCTTTTTAGCAATTTCACACACCTTTTCAACAGACGCAAGCTCCTCTTCTTCAGCAATAAGCAATGCTTCCATTAAAGCCGCACGTTCAACACGTTTTCGCAATAATGTTACTTCTTCTTTCAAGTTATTATATTCCTCATTAGACACTTGTTGCAGTTGAATCTCGTCTCCTGGTAACAAAACATTTTCGGGAACTTTTAAAATTCTCTCAATTTCGTCATCAATAATTTTAAGACTTGGACCCGCACGTTCGCAATACAACTTTATTATTTTATCACAAGAATGTGTTAAAGTTGATTTATCAGTGTCGTTCAGATCTAATGTCTCTTGCAAATATGACTCCATATCCTTGACGCCCGCTCTAATTTTTTGTTCCACCATTTGTCGCACAGCAATTTTAAGACGTTGGGCCCCAAAACCAAAATGTTGAGTTTCATACTCTTCTTCAGTCCCACCACTCCAAGGTTCTGTTTTAATCATCTTTTGATTTTCTCTGGAGACTGGAGACACTTAATTTTTAATTACTTAAAACTTTTAGACACAACAAAAGCTCAAATTTCAAATTCAAAATCAAAACAAAACCGTTACGAATGGTTATAAAACTATTTGATTACTTTTTTTATTAAGATTTTTGGCTTGGATACTTGTCTTTCAAGCCATGTCTTCCTTTCATTTGGAATCTTCGTTTGATACATTTTTTCTTCATAATATGCTGATGAGTAACATTGCGAAGTTTTCGGAAGATTTTGACGACAGCTCAACCCACAACGAAGCACTAATATCTTCATTCTCTGGGACATGACTTCTTTAGCAGACATTTATTTACCATAGGTATTACCTTAGAGCATACATTACATGGAGGGAGCACTGTGTGAGCAGAAAGCGAGATCGGTGCTCTAAGGTTTGTAGTTTTTTCTATGTTTGATGGTGTTTCCACCGTTGCATCGCGCGAGCGCATGCCCAATGAAACAGCCAATGATAGTGACTGTGGAGAGAAGATTATCTCTTTTCGGTATGCTTTCTGCTCACACAGTGCTCCCTCCTCCTGTAATGTGTAGGTTACAGATAGTTCCTTGCGCAGGGCATGTATGGGGGAGGAAGAAACAGCGACCCACGTGTTGCTGACATGTCTGGAAGCTCGCTGCATACAGGGCTAAACATCTCGGCACGTCATGATCGCTACCCGAACTTGTTTACAACTTCAAAAGACTGTTGAACTTCTTCGTTGAGATTTCATAGCTCGAACAATCACATTATTCCTGCTCACACGCTAAATACGCGTTTAGACGTGGAGTTGGGGAAAACAGCCCGTTGTAAATTAAACTAAACTAATCCACTATACCCAGTGCCGGATTAACCACTTAGCAAGAGTAGTAATTGCTACGGCCCCCGCGCAAAAGAGGGCCAGCGTATCCAAGCATCCCATCATCGCCTAAGCGTACTTTTTAAAGTAAAACTTATTAAGATGGTATATTCAATTTTTATGATAACACATAAACGTGAAACGTTTGCTTCAGGATATGGAAGTTTTTATTCCATCCTCTGTGGTGCCCATCAGAGGCAAATCTCAACCATGGTTTGGTTTGGTAAATAGCATGCTATAAACAGGAGTGCTACTAAGCCTGAGCTGACGAATCAACGTCCCGGGATGTATACACCACAGCGTTCTTAAAAATAAGTGTAAGTCCGCCTTCAGGTCCTTCAAAAGAGTTATTGCCAAGGCAAAGTCAGAGCACATAGGCTGGATTGGCGAGAAACTAGTTCGCCTTCCTTTTGGAACCCGTCCATTCGGGTCTCTCGCCAAGGCTGTCAAGGGAATTTATGTCAGCCACCTCTTTCATCTCTGCACAAGGAGGACGACTCACTGGCCCATGCCGTATAGGAGAAAACCGATCTGCTAGCCTCTTTCTTTGCGTCAAACTCGACTCTCGATGACGGGGAGAGAACGCAACCGACCATCCCACGGTGTGAGTCTTCATGCTGGAGGTGCGGCTCACACAGCGCTAGGTTTGCAAGGCACTCCTCTCCCTGGACATCCACAAGTCGAGTGGCCCTTATGGTATCCTTCCAATAGTGCTGAGGACGTGTGCTCCAGAGTTGGCATCGGTCTTAGCGCATCTTTTCCGGTATTCCTACTCTCTAGGCTTAGTCCCCAAAATCATGGAAAACGGCTTTCGTCCACCCGATCCCCAAAAAAGACGACTGCTCAGACCCGTCCAACTACAGGCTATCGCCATCACCTCCTTGTTCTCCAAAACAATGGAGTCCATTGTAAACTGCCAGCTCATGAGGTACCTTGAGAACCAAATCACCAGCTGATTAGTGATCGCCAATACGGTTTTCGTCGTGGTCGATCAGCGGGTGATCTTCTGGTCTACCTAACGCATAGATGGGCGGAGGCAGTAGAGTCCAAGGGGAAGGCATTGGCCGTTAGTTTTTACATTGCGAAGGCCTTCGATCGGGTTTGACACAAAGCGCTTCTTTCGAAGCTCCCTTCCTATGGGCTTCCCGGGATCACCAGGTTTCTTGCAGATCGGAGCATCAAGGTCGTTGTAGATGGCGCAAGCTCCGATTACAAGCCTATTAATGCTGGTGTTCCACAAGGCTATCTATCACCAACCCTGTTTCTTCATGTCAATGATATGTTGCAAACCGGCAACATCGATGCTCTGTACAACGACCGTGCCAATATTTCTCAGGAAAACGTCTCCGAATACCGGGACAAACTTGTGTCTGAAGTCCGAGTCTTTGCTGAAGAAAGTCTCGGATTGGGGGCGACTAAATCTAGTCCAGTTTAACCCTCATAAGACACAAGTTTGCGCGTTAAGCCCTAAAAAGAACCCTTTGTTGTATCTCCTCAGTTTCAACTTTCAAGGCACTGTCGTCGACATATCGAGTGACGTGCAGCTTCGTGGTCACTAGGAAGAGAAGGCCTCTAAAAAGCTTGGCCTCTAAGCAGCGGGACGGTATTTCATGCCGGCACACCGCCTGCAACTTTACAAGGCGCAGGTTCGGCCGCACATGGAGTTCCCATCTCCGAGCTGGGGCTCCCCAGTGCCAGCCCCTTCAACTTGACCGCATTCAGCGCAGAACATCTCGAATCGTCGACGACCTAGTGCTTTCGATCGACTCGATTCACTGGCGCCGCGTTGAGATATTGCATCTCTTTGCCTATTTTATCGCATCTATCACGGAGAGTGCTCTGAGGAATTGTTCGGATTAATCCCAGCCGCCAAATTTCATAAACGAACTATGCGGCAAATCTCCCGATACCATCCACACCATCTGGATGCTTGGCGGTCCACCATTGTACGTTTCACTAGGAGTTTTCTTCCGCGTACAACCCCTCTGTGGAATAGTTTACCACCGGTGATTTTTCCGGACCGATACGACCTAGGGGCCTTCAAGAAAAGAGCTTACTCGTTTCCAAAGGGCCGGTAACGCACCTGCAATTCCCTAGTGTTGTGGTTGTTCATGGGCTGCCGTAGTCACTTAACATCAGTTTCGTTTGCCCCCTCTTCTATAAAAAAATGTAGGCCTGTTTTGCACCTTACCCATGGGGGACGGATTATGGACGCCGATGTTGTGCTTCAGGGGATGAAACTTTAGATCCCGTCAACCCGTAATGCCTATAGACGGCAGATCCCATTATTGGTTTGGACGCTCCTGCAAACTGTCTTACAAGGTCTTGGCTGGCCGGTCCCGGCCCTGGTCCATCTGTCCATTGCTAGTACACTCAAAATAAATTACAACTCTGCCTCCAGGTCCTTCAAAATGTTTACTGCTAAGGCAAAGTCGGAGCACATTGGGAGAATCCGCGAGAAATTAGTTAGCCTTTCTTCGCGTACACTTGAGTTCTTATCCCTTGGCCTTTGCCAAGCACAAGGGAATTTCTGTAAACCACCATTACCATCTTTGCGCAAGAAGGATGACTTGGCCATGCCACAAATAGAAAAGCTCTTTATAATAAAAATAAAATATCTTTTAGGACCTCTTTTTGCGTCCAACTTGACTTTCCATGACGGAAGGATTATACCGCCGACCATCCCGCGCTCCATACCGCATGTGCTGTTGACAACTACAAGTCGAGTAAGCCTGATGGAATCCCCCAAATTTTAGTGAAGACGTGTGCTCCAGAGTTGGTATCGGTTCTAACGCGTCTTTTCCGGTACTCTTATTCAAATGTAAACGTTCGGACTCGTCCAACTACAGGACTATCGCTATCACCTCCTTGTTCTTCAAAGTAATGGAATCAATTATTAACTGCAAGCTCATGCGGTGCTTCTAAGAGCATCAGTTGATTAGTGACCTTTAGTGAATACGGTTTCCGTCAAGATCGCTCAGTTAGTGGTCTTTTTGTCTACCCGACTCACCGAATACCAATAGATGGAGGCAGTCGAGATCGAGGGGCCTCCATCGTTGTTAGGTTGGGCATAGCGAAGGTCATCGATCCAGTTTGGCACAAAGCGCTTCTTTCAAAGTTGCCCTCTTGTGATCTTCCCCAGAAATTATGCAATTGGGTCCTCCTACAGGACAGAGTATGAAGGTCGTAGTAGATAGTGCATGCTCCAACTCCAAGCCTGTGAATGCTGGTGGTTCACAAGGCTGCGTGCTACCTGTATTTCATACTAGTAATATTCATTGTTATTTAGGCGACAGTATTAGCGATGCTTTATACACCGGCCGTGCTAATATTTTTCGGGAATACGTCGTTGAGTGTCGGAACTAGAGAAATCGTAATAATAAGTCAATAGAAGTTGCATAGACGCGTGACCTTGTCGCCGATATGATGTGTTGGCGAACATCATTCATTATTTTGTGGTTAAGTTGCACGGAGAACGTTGTACGTGAATTTATGTTATTATAATGGTGAACTGCAGCATAATCTGTTGTAAAAACTCATCAAGGACGTGTAATTCAACTAATAAAGGCATAACATTTCACCGGTAAGTTGATTATTTACTAATTATCGTTGTTTTAACTAATTTACATTTGGATAAATACTTTACTATGATATTTACCTTTGTAAATTTTTATTTATTATTTTTCGTATTGTAAAATTACCATTACTACTTTTTATCTACCGTAATACGCGACGCACTCAACGTTGACAAACTCGCCAAGCAATGTAATGTGAAAAATTAGATATCATTGTGCATTGCGTACCTATATTTATAATACGGCTGCATGCATCGGTTGCTTAATGCGTATGTGTTAAGATGTGGCGAAATTGGTTTTGGAAGTAATCGACTGCTAATTCATTTCTGTTGTCTTATTATTACTATTTCTGTGGCCGGAACAGTGTCTGAAGCGGAGTCATTGTTGAACTAAGTCTCGTATTGGGGGTGACTAAAGTTTAATCACCGGAGATTTAAACTGGCATCAAACTTGGACTGCTCAGTAGATCACGACGGGATTTCACGCCGAACTACCGCTTGCAGCTTTACTAAGCGCAGATTCCGCCTCATATATAATACTGT